GACTCATATGGATTAAGTACAGTGGCTCCACTGCCCATGCTTCCAGCAGGTACCAGCTTAAAGCTATATGATTCTATTAACACAGTGTCAGAAAGAGAATGTATTAGTGCAGGATTGTGCCAAATCTAAAGCAACTAAAGAATTTTCTGACAAAAGCCATTTCACGCCCTGGCAATTCAGAGCAATCATTGAGCATTTTGCACCCTCTCAAGCAGACATAACTCTGGATTGTGCAAAAACCCCAGAAACGAACATTGAAATATTTAACTGTGTAGCGAATATTTTTACACTAAACCCCAAATCAATTAAAACTGTTTTAGACATTTTCATGACAAAGGAGCAAGTGAATCACAACTATCTTCATAAATAAGAAACTTTTCAAATTGTGTCCCTGATCTCCACTGATATTGTTGTGGTGGGTTTTTTTTTTTAGTATTACCAATAGAAAATAAACAGGCAAGATATACTAGGAAGTTATTAATGACATCTAGGCAAGGACTAGTTGTTAAGTAAATAACCATTTTCCCTATTAAATTTCTACTACTTATGAAACTGAAGTGATTAACTTGTTAAATAACTCAGTTGCAAAAATCTGTGCTAGTTGTTTCAGAGACATGTTACCTTGATAGTCAGTGCATTTAACTTTATTGTTTTTACATATCTGGAAAGAATAGCTGTCTTAATAATTTCCAGCAATCAGTACTTGTCTAAGTAAGATGTTCAAAGTTCTCAGGTCCCCAAAGTCTTGTTAAAACAGCTGGACAAATGACAAATCTAGACCATGTGATCATTCAAGAACTGCCCTTCCATGATTTACTGAAAGAGTAAAAGTAGTAATTTCTACATTTGATTGATTTCCTTTTTACCCTTTTTGTTGTCAGCAATGTGAACAAAGGAAACAAAGCCTTTAAAAAGATTTGTGGGGTTTATTTTGTTTGTTTCTTCGCTTTTAAGCCTGAGTTTTAAAACTACAATATTTTTCAAGAGGAAACTACCTCCATTCACCACGGCCAATATCTAGAATTATTACAGATAAAGCTAATCTTTTTGGTTCCTTATAAACACACCTAAGAAATCTATCACAATTGCAGGCTGAGAGTATCAGTGAGAGACCAACTTTTCAAATAAATATATATATACACACGTATTCTATATATCTATATACTATATAGGTATTTTAAGACTGATAACATTTGAACAATCTAGCATAAGCAAGCAATCACCAGGCATCACCAGAAAATGAAGATTTTGAGATGCTCACTACATTAACAGACAGATTTTGTTTGGCAGCCTCTGCAGAATACGCCAAACAGTAAATCAATATTGAAATAATTTATCAATCTTTTACATTAAAAACAAAATATTGTGCTCTGCTCTGTACACGTCTAGATTATACTTGCAGCTTTACAATGAAGGCTTTTACAGATTTTAGTGGCACGTCAAGCAAGAAAGAATATCAGTGATGAGATTTCCCACTCAAAGGAAGCGTTTTGTAAATTTTTTAATTTGGTCCTTCCATTTGAGAAAGCATAAAGACCATGTGTTACTATTGTTCTTCTTTTTAAGTTAATGAGATTTTTCATTCCCCTGAGATTCTTATCTTCAAAGTAAACTTGTTTCTGAAGATCCCTTCTCCAGATTTATCCTCATTTCATTATAACCCAAAGAATAGGAAAGTCTGAAAAACCTGGAGAGTCCCAGCATGTGCTGGGTTGACCTTGGGTGGCTGCCAGACCCCCACCCGGCTGCTCTCTAACTCCCACTCCTTAATAGGACAAGGGAGAAAATAAGGTGGAGAAGCTCGTGGGTTGATATAAAGACAGGGAGATCACTTGTCATGGGCAAAACAGACTTGACTTGGGGAAGACTAATTTACATTCCCAACATATCTACCGCCCCTCCTCTTCCCTCAAGCAGCATGGAGGGGATGGGGAATGGGGGGTTGTGGTCAGTCCATAACAGCTCCTCTTCTCTCCTATTCCTTCCTTCTCATGCTTTTTTCCTGCTCCAGCAAAGGTCCTTTCACAAGCTGCAGTCCTTTGGGATAACCCTGGCTCAAGTGTGGGTCCTCCATGGGTTGCAATGTAGATCAATCTGCTCAGCTGAGGTTGCTTCCCCGGGCTACAGGGGAATCACTGCTCCAGCACCTAGAGCACCTCCTTCCCTCCTCCTTCTCTGACCTTGGTGTCACAGGGCTGTTTCTCTCACTTTTTTTCCTCACTCCTCACTGCCATGCAGCATTTTGCTGTTTCTTAAATACGCTTTCCCAGAGGTGCCATCATCTTGGCCGAGGGGCTCAGCCGTGCACTGCCCTGGGTCGGTTGGAGCCAGCTGGAACCCGCTGTGTCCGGCACGGGGCAGCCCCGGCCTCTCCTTACAGAGGCCACCTGCACCCAGCACAGTTTGCCTTCCCGTTTTCGATCCTTTTTCATGCCTGGCAGCCCCAAATCCTTCTCCTTAAGCCCCCAGCAACCTAATACCATCCATTCACTACTATCTGGGAATCTATCTCCAAGCTTTGAAGAGCTCCCTCTGGAGTCTTTCTTTGAATTAATACTTTTAAAATATTAAGTATTATTTAAGTATTCACTGTAGCTAAATCACACGACAGTTCCATAAGTATTCACCTCTAGAGGAAGAATAATTTCTATTACTATTACTTCTAAACTAGCAGTATAACATGATTTGCTATACACACAAACGCACACACACACTTAATTTAGTATTTTATGAATGTTTGCATTTCTAATGAGATGCCAGAACACTCTTCTGTTTCCAGTCTAAATGCATTGAGTTCCTGCAGATACTTTCACCTACCATTATTCCTCATTTACATCTAGGAATATCTGTTGTAACACACATAATGTAAAACAATTGGAAATTGCACTTCTCCACTTTTACTGGGCTACAGTATTACCAAAAAACAATTATTTTCTGAAACAACAGTGACATCCAACTTTTCCACAACTTTCTCTACCAACTACCATTTGCTTTTTCCTATATAAAACAACCAAAACAATACTTCATCTTAAAGATTTGCAATTTATTGTTTAGCAAAATAACTTTAGTGTATCAATGACTATGTAGAAAATTATAATATTCATTTTAATTTAGTCTCAAGAGGAAAAAAAACAAACATGCACTATATTTGCTATAGAAACAGATGGACCATTACTGGCTCAGTTTCCAACTTAATGACTACAGCTACTTTTAAATGTTAACATTTAAATTAGATTATCCCATATTCTTCAGACTTGTTTTTTGTTTATGTTTCAGAGTTATTTTGGGGAACACTACTGCTTTCTCAACACTGAGTAAGAATGTAGAGCGGAAAGATTTTCTAGGAGCAAGCCTTGTCACTGCTACAATAAACGCCAATGGGAACACATTTCAACACGTAACTGTATGGGAAGCACAGGAACTGCTCTCCTATAGGCACCAGGGCACTAAGCCCTAGCGCTGCAGATAAATTGTTTCTCCTGTTGACATGGTCAACAGCATGTAAAAATGCTGCTGAATTCCCAAAAGTTATTCATTAGCTTGTGGACACAGTTAGTCTAACACATTCTTGAAAAATCCTATGTTCCTCTGCATAACTTAACTATGACTGCTGACTGGGCCAGTGGCTGCCTTTAGTACAGCAAAGCCACACTTTAGCTACAAGTGAGAGCAAAAATTGTCTGTCAATAGGGTCTCTCATACCAGTATATCTGTTTATATAGAAGAATACTACATGCACCAAATGGAAGTAATTAAGCATGCCCACAATACAGATTATATCAGTATAGTTCAGTTGAACATACTGAAGCTAGTGTACACACATTTGGACGGACCTCCCAAACGTTCCTCCCACTCGTACACTCTAAACTGATTCAAACCAAGGCTGAAGATTGCTTAGTCTTCAAAAACTGAAGCCATTAGTTGAACCTTAGTTGGACTTGGAACTTTTTTTTGGGTGTGCCACCATGTTTGCACAGCTTTCAGCTTTTTCATTTATGTTTCAAGCTACTTAGTTGTAAGCACACCTCATTCTGGAAGCCATGGTACTGCAGGTATAGCACTGTGCTCTCAGAAAGGCATGTGCTGCCTTATCTTCAGTGCATCACCTTCAGACTGCTGTTGGCAGTTTCTGAGCAAGTAAGATCACACAGATCTGTTTGCAAAGGTTTTGCAGACAAGCCACTACCAATTAGTTCTGATCTAATGCTCACTTCTTAAATTTCTATATTTAGAATCCAAATTCATGGCTATTATGGACATTATTCAAGAAACTTGCATGCATAATTAAGACCATATAAAAAGAAACAATGGTCACCATTCATAATCTATTCTTTTTTCTTCAATTCGAAATACACTAGAAGGGAAAAAAACCCTCCAACTTTAAAATGAACAGTAAATTTATAATACACAGAAAATGCTTCGATTAATTCTGAATCAAATAAGAAATTCTATTGCTTAATTTAATTCAGCAGGGATATCACCTAGCTGTGTGCTTACTGAGCACCTAGTCCAATGGTACAATCTTGTAGCAAAACTAGCACAATCAGTAAGTGTTCACCTCACAGAGAGAAAAAGCGATTCAGTTGGTGCACAGCTTCTACAAGTAACAAATACGCTGGCACCGCATTTATAGCATATCATAACACTTATTGTCAAAATCTCAAGAAAGAATTGCACATAGTTACACAACAATCCTTTCCCACAAGGACAGGTGCAGGGCTTTTGTACTTTTTTTTTTTTTTTTATACAGGCCCTTTTCCCTGTTTTGTACTGATACTATTAGCTTGATAAATACTTTCTTCATTTGCTATCTCCACCAGTCTGCCTAAACCGACTCTGATATCCTTTACCTATTTGTTGGTCTGTTTCTTTGATGTTAGATGAGAAACATTGGTGAAAGGATCACCTGAATTTGTTGTACTGGTTAATTTTTAACAAACATAGTAAGAACAGTTCTGTTTGGAGGAGGAGATTTTAAATCTCTTGAATATAGTACATACCAGTTCCTTTGCTTACATATGGAGGCTTGAAGAATTTCACAACGCCATACAAATTCACTATAGTTCCATCTTTAAGACAATTCAGAGGAGTATACACATATTTTGGTGCAACAGACTGGAAAGGCAGGATAAAATTGGGGAACAGAAGAAAAAATTATTCCAACATTCACCCAGAATTTTGTCTTTTAACACCACCCACCTTCAGATATGATTTCATCTTAAAAAAAAAAATTAAAGGTTATCTATTTTTATCTTATTCACTTTAGACTCTTTAAAGTTAAATATATATATATATATTTATCTGCAATAAAGCACACAAGACTTATTTCCCTTTCTTTTTGTGATTGCATCTTCCTTACCATAGACTAACCAGTCAGTTCAAGTAAGTTTCAATACATGGAACACGTGAATAGAAGTCATTATAATAAAAAATTATGGAAAGTAACTTTTTACTGACTGATTTTAACATGTCCATCCAAAGGGCTTTTTAAAACACATACATAAATAATTTTGTAATTCTTATTAGCAGTGTCACTGTACAGAATCACTGTCTGGGGGGGGGGGGGCACAGTTTACCCCTCACAGCCATTGTGTAAGTCTTCCTATTAAAATAGCACACGCTGCAGGATTAAAGAAATTAAGGACTATCTTCGACTATAAGGACTACTCTCCTCTCATCTTAAGGTTACATTATATGCTGATTAGCCTCTTTTAAAGAATACAAGTTCTGCCAAACTGACTGAAAACCGTGTTTTTCAATTACTATATCAGATGGAAAAAATGAAACTCTTCATAAAATTAACGTGAAGTCAAGCTTATCGTCTTCGGTACTAAATCTTTAACCTTATGACAAAGAACAACAAAATTTCATACACCAATTTCTATGGTGTTTTATCTACTATTTCTATGGTGTTTAATATACTATTTCCTGTAGAATTTTAATTTACACACATAAAGGCTTGTTCCAAACAGTAACCAAAATAAATGTTAAGATCAGTACATGAAGTCTGATTTTAAATCAAAGGAAGATTCGTATTTCCATTTCTTTTAAAGCACAAGCATATGATCTTCTTTAGAACAGAAGTTACCCTTCTAGTCCGTATTTCCTAAACCAACATGCAGCTTATTTTGAGATCGAGATGAGAACTATACTGCAAGTATAGAAAAAGTACTACTTTTTCGTATTTTATTCTGTTTTCCAGGCATAGTATTTGCAAAATTAAAAGCTAAACAAATGACTGCTGGGATGAGAGTATGGAATTAAAACAAACAGGAAAGAAAAAGAATTCCACACATTCTTATTTACATGCAGTTAGTCTCACATGGTTTAAAAACATCCCAAATACAAACTCACCACAGATGCAGTTTCTGAAGCAGTAGGTTTTTTTGGTATAGTATAAATCTGAGGAGAAAAAAATAGCAAACTCTGATTACAAAACTGAAGGCATTGCAAATATAACAAGATTTGATAACGCTAAAGCAAATATAACACTATAAGCAAATATAAAACAGCACTATAGACACTTTTGCTATGTGAATCACCTCTGAAACTACTAAAATTTTATCATACAGGAAAAATAATATTTACTCCAATTACACTCAAAGTTGGGTACCCACATACATAAATGGCTGATCCAGCTTCTTCAGACATCTCCAGGTGGCAACCATGTCTACCATCCTCTCTCGCTGTAGGCGATTTTGCCAACTTAAATCCTGCAACTACAACGGTGTCCTGTGGGTACAGGGTAATAAACAGATGATTACATAGGCTGTATCACGTACTCTTTTTTAAGAGTACGTGCTGTGACGTTCCACCCTAAAGTCTCAAGGCATTCAAGAAACAGAAATCCTGAACAAATTCTAAACATTGTTTTTAAGTTTCTATATTTAGTTCTTCTACCCATGGAATTCATATCTCCAACCACTGTCAGCAAGCATTTTTTTTTTTTCAAATTCTGCTAAAATTTTTGCACTCTTGATGCTACTGTGACTGAGTGCTAATTTTGAAAAGGGCTAGAGGGGAAGAGTCACACTGAATAAAGCAAAAGAATCATTCCCCTTCAAATATACTGAAGACCAACTACTTTCTGGGTAAGCTTAACTAAGCTAGAAAAGGAATCATACATCAGATCAGCAGTGACAAAACACTCTTTTCTCACAGCTTATTTCTTATTGAGTTACAGCTACACTTTGAAGAGACTCTCCTTGCAGATATTTTCTGTTTTGGTTGGATTGACATCTTCCTTAAGGGCCAAATAGGTAGGTCAATCAATAGGTAGGTTTCTGGTAGCAAGAGACATTACAAATTTCTCTGCCATCACTCTTGAGATTCTGGCACAGGAAGAAATTGCATTTGCAACTGCACTTTCACTGTGGTATGAAGTTTCTCAGACACCACAAAGTGAACAAGAACAGGATGACTTAAGGGGTAAATGATTTAAGTCCCTGCAGCAGCTCACCTTTTTAGTAGCAACCTTACAAAAAAAACCAAAAACAACAAAAGCCAGGGCGGGGGGGGGAGAAGAAGATAGAAAATACATTTAGGAGATAGAGATGATAAGAAAGATATCTGACCAAACAAAGATAATGCTGGGAACTCTGATACAAATGTAAAGCTCCTTTATAGTCAGCTCCTTTGGTATCAGAACTCTATAGCAGTGTGATCTATTCCAATAAACATATTAGACTCAGAACCCTATTTCTATCCGACCTTCTACCAAAAGCACTTCCATAAACTTTTACTGAATGACTTTTGTTCATGTGTTTATTTGATTACAACAAATAAAAGAATTTTCTCATTAAAGTTCACAGTTTTAGCCAAATATTGCACTACGATGGCTCTTTTTTGCTATTTCAGCAATCTGACAATGCTACTCTAAATGATTGGTGATCCAAAACCTTAATGTTTTGTGCAAGAAAAAGAAAGGCTGCTAGCTTACATGACAGTTACATATTTAGTTATTAAAGGATTTGAAAAAAAAAATCACTGCAGAAAACATAAGTTTAATCAGACAGTTTATTACACAACAAGACTACTTAGGGCATGGTGATTTTCAGGTAGTGTCATAAATGGAAATATAATGTATACTTTGACTAAAAGATAATATGCAAGTCACCTAAGTGTAAGCTATACTCAGAGCTAAGTAAGTTAAAATGGATCAAAACAATTAGACAACTCAATATTCCTTGCATCTGGAACACACTGCCCCTGCTAACATACATTAAAGTTGTTTCAGGAAACTCAGCTATTTTGCAGAAACCAGGTGTTAGCACGTGTCTTTCCTTTCACTGTTGCTGATGCTACTCATGGTGTTCCTTCAACAGTGGAATCATCCTTCAGCTAAAAAGCTATGCCCTGCTATACATTATTCCCACTTCAGCATTTTATTAGATTGCAGGCTGCACAACATTCTGGGACTTGGTTGCTGAGTCAGGATTGCAGGTCTGTACAGCTGACTTGACTTGTTCTCCTGTGTCAGAAGGAACTTTAGAATTACACAGAGTCAATCCAGGTTGATAATAAATGGAAACGTTTTTGTGGATAATGTTAGATCACTGGAGATTACTCTCATGTAATATGCAATGCGTAACATGACATTCTAAAAACATGTGAAAGGACTGTGTAATTTCAATGAGGAAAATAGACAGCACTAACCTCAAAATCTAGGTTTACAGGTAGAAAGAACAGGTATATTCTCAGATTTGTTACAAATTCACAGTCAACTTTGGCAGGTTATGACTTGCAGTTTCTAAACATGCAAAAAATTTACATACAGTTTGCACAGTGCTTCGAAATGTAACGCTATATTTGTTTTCAAAATAGATAAGTTTCCATTTCACCTTTAGCTAAGAGTAATTATTAGAAGTTCTTTTATAATTGGCTTGGGAATCAAAGCCAATTATCATAAATCGGTGGATTTTCATGTCAACAGAAGAGTATTATATTGCATATACATACAAACTATAAGATTTGACCAACATTTTCAAACAGCAAAAAGAAATCCTACTCCCCTCATAAAAACAAAGTGAGAAATAAAGGAAAGACAGTATTTTCCCTGATGGTTATTCTGTTACAGAACGAGAAGACTCTCAGGAGACAAAAAGAACATGGTTATTCATGTTTTTGGGAATAGCCTGTTCCTCCCTCCAGGCTAATTAGCTAAAGCTGTTAAAGTATGGGAAGTACGATATGGAACTCTACAAAACTGTAAAGCTTGAAATTGTGAGCAGCAAACAAAAAGTATTGGACCTTACTGAAGTAATTCTTTAATGGCTAAAACTTTGGTTTTTAAAACATTACATCTATTTCATAACTGCTGAATTGCAACTCTGCTAGTTTCAGAAATCATTCTGTTCCCTCAGATTCAGATTATTCCAAAATTAAAATCTCGGTTGAGACATGTGGAAAGTACCATGAAGGTTGAGTTCACTGGGGAAGACCGAACAGTGGTTTTAGCGCACTCTGGCTGTCTAAGAGTTGCTGTCTGTGGGTTGTGGTTTCCTACTCAGCTCCTTAGTACTGAACTTTCTATCTTCTAATTGCTGCTCAGGGCCTTGTTCAAGATTTGTATTTTTATCAGGACAATAAAACTGATTTGTTCTTTAAATTTAAAATGATTCTGCAGCTTGTATATTTAGCAAAATAGTTCAGGAACTTCCCATCCTGGGCTCACTGTCAAAATTCTGTGGAATAGAGAAATTTGTATAAAGACTGTCACTTCTTATTTTATACATATCTGACGGTTGTAAAAGATTCTTCTGCCATAAACAGACTGAACTGATTTTGCTGATCTTCAAGGCATGTTCCTCTCGTTAGCATGGCATATGACAAACATTAAAACAAGGCTTTGATTGACAGCAGAATCCAATGTAAAATTGAATATTCTCTGACCTGCATACCTTCCCACCCAGCCCAAAGCGCCTCCATGTTGTTCCCTCAAGCTCACACATAACAAAGGGCTGAAAAGGGCCATGCACCAATTTCAAGGTCAAATTAACAGCAGTCTCTAAATGGGTTCTACTAAAAGGATCTAGGTAAGTTTATTCCTTATGGCTAAATTAATTTGAAAGAATTCTGTGAAATCCTTCACCCACAATCACTACGTGTTACTGACTTTTCCTTCACATAACCTATGCTGGTTGGAGGAGAGATACTAGATGTAAATAGAGGAAGATATCCTATAGAATTTTTTTTGCTCTCACCCAGACTTTTATTTAGTAGACTACACACTACAGATAATGTATACTTCCCAAGACCTACCACCATACTCTGTCAGAGCAAGCACCTTTTGCTGGAAAATGTTTCTTAGACTCAGTAATTTCTTCAAAAACAAAGTTTTAACCCATTCAGTTCATGACAAAAGCTCAACTATTTGCTGATGGAAGGCATACGGTAAATGATGCCAGAAAAAAGCCCCCAAAGTACAAGGAATCACATTGCTAAGCAAGACTCTGGAAGGAATTTACACATTCATTAAAAATACAGTAAGCATTTTAAATATTTAATTATTATTCTTAATATTATTTATTATTAATATTAATTTAATATTTAAGAAAACAAATTATGTGACTGGAAATAAGGCAAGGTAAGAGTGACAAAAAGAGAAAAGGGTATACAAAGATATATGCCAGCATCTTTCATTTCCATAGGAAGTTTTCACCTATACATGATCCTGCAATTTTTTTTTTTTTTTTATATGCTGCACTAGGTTACAACCATAACTTCAAATAAATTTCTTCAACTATTCACTAAACATTTATAAAACTGGTATTTTTTTTTAGCCTTGCTTTTTACAGAGATAAATTTCACTGTCATGTCAGTCTGTCTTACATGTTCTATAACTTCTAAACCTCTTTACTGACTTTAACTAAAATTTGAAAAGTGATAAAAATCTCAAAATGGTTACATGTCTGTTGAAAAAAAGAGAAACACTAAACTTTTTATTGGGCAAGATACTTTTTTACCGATCTGAAGAGGCAGCCAGTGTATGTCACCTGCTGTTTGAGGATTGTCTACATGATAAAAGCAATAATTAAACATTCAGTTCCTTCTCTCTAATCTGTAAGTATTCATCAAGTCTGTATTAAACTAGTCAGACTAACAATGTTGAAAACACAGGAATTCAAAAATTTTCAGTGTCTGAATATTTATGAGCACATAATTATATAAAAACTATAATATAGGTCACTATACATTTTATAAACACCTCAGCTCTAACTATTGTTGTAATTCTTGAAATTAGCAGCTTTGGTCCCATATATGTCATGAACTGATGCATGCATCTTTGAAGCTGATACAATTCAGGCTGTAAACTACTATCCAGAAACAGCAAGATCACGCTCAAGGACTACAAATAGATCTTTCCCTCTCTCCCCCCCAAAAAAAAAAAGCTGGGAACTAAGCAAAAGTAATTTTTTAACCTTAGGTAGAATTCCATGAAAAGAATATGCATGTCTCCGAACTGAAATTAAAATGTTCCATAAATTCAGAGCAACTTGGACTTTAAGTGATATTTTGACATCATGCCCTAAGGTATGCTATAATTTTTACCCTTTTTCCACATACAGATCACCGAAGCTCAGGTGTACTACTCCATTTGAGCTGAAAAACCCTGATGGAATTCTAACCAAGCCATTTCTATTTCCATATTTGAGAAAGCCCTTAACTTTTGTGCATAACAAATATTTCTAAGAACATGAAAACAAAGCCCTTTTTTTTTTCACTAAATAACTTTCCATCTTTTTGAAGAAAGACTTTTTACCAAGGCCTGTAGTGACAGAACAAGGGGCAATGGTTTTAAACTGAAAGAGGGTAGGTTTAGATTGGACATAAGGAAGAAATTCTTTATGTTGAGGGTTGTATGACACTGCAATAACTTGCCCAGAGAATCTGTGGATGCCCCATCATTGGAAGTGTTCAAAGTCAGGCTGGATTGGGCTTTGGAGCAACCTGGAGTAGTGAAAGATGTCCCTGCCCATGGCAGGGGGGCTGGAACTGGATGATCTTTAAAGGTCCCTTCCAGCCCAAACCATTCTACCATTTAGTGTGAATTTATATCGTAAATGAAAAAGCACTAACATGAGCTCATAACGTATTGTACACCAATTTTAATTTGATATCTGGCTACTATTGAAATGCCAGCAAACTGACAGGCAATCTAATAAAAAATATTCAGTTGAGGTAATTGTTTTCAGCTTGTTTTCCTTCTTTAGTTGCAACACTGTCTCACAAATTCATAGGCTGTCTTGCCAATGTCCTTTACCCTGCAGCTAATCAAACCAAGCTTGTACCTCTGACGAAGCAAGACACCAGCACCCAGCCAATAAAGAAAACTGTACATAGTATTGAATTAGTTTTTTTTTTTAAAGCTTTCAGTTGAACTATCTTTTAAATCAATTTACGTCTAAAATCTATCTTATCAAATGGCAATAGACATTCAAATTATGAACATAAATGGATGACTTCTCTATCATCCATATTCATGAACCTTTACTTGCTAGGTAAACAGCACTGACAAAAAGAATTGCTTTATTTCAATATTATTGTTAGACAAAATTTACATAAGCAAATGCTTTTTTTTTTCCTAGTTCATATTTATAGATTTGAACTAACTGAACAGACTATTTCTAATCTTGGTGATAGCTATACAAAGACAAGAAGTCAACATGCATCTAGGGAAAACAATTCCTAAAATAAGAAGAAAAAAATATATTACCCCATGGCGTATAACTTTTGCACAATCCTCTGCCATTTTTCCATATATTAAAATATTGATGCTGTTGATCCGTGAACATGAGTTATCCAAATCTAGAGGAAAAAAAAAGCAGAAGCGATTGCAATCACCATACCTTCTCCAAAACAAAAGAGCAATGGGAAGAGATTTCCAAAGTAAGTTAATCTACAGTCTAACACTTTATATTCCAATTAATCTACAAACAGAAAATCCTTTCAAATAGTTATACAACTGTTTGTATGTGCTAAATATAGGTATAACAAGCAGAATATTCTTTATAAAAGGACTACTCAAAATGCACAAATGTTGTACATCAGTGCACATTAAAGAGAAATGACAAAGATTTCCACTTGGATAATTCAGTGTATAGTGTTAGAGAGGAAATATTATCCAGTCACATTTGATTTTTCACATTAACACAGACCATACTGTAGAACTTTATAACCTGGAGATATTCCAGGACATAGACAAATCAATAAATAGCCTTACAGGAAGACTGAAGCAGAAATTATGTTGTTATTTTGAAGTTTTCTACCTTTTACTGTTTCAGAAACAATGCTAATGATTTAGATGTGCAAATTTATTTTTTGAGGCTGTGGAGAATGTGCAGAAACTCTTGGCCCTCCTGAACAGCCATGTGGAATTAGCAAGACTCAAGGAAGTTTTGCATCCCTCTTTGGGAACCCTGAAGCCAGCAGGGAAACGGACTCAGGTCCTACCAACTGCATTCACCTCTGCTAACACCAGTCACAAGCAGTATCACCAGGTAGCATCTGCACCCCCCAGCCTGCTGTTCGGTCACAGTCACAAAATTTATAGAATCAGGAAGACTCAGAGGGAGCAAGTGATGATTCTCTAACCAGCATAAGGAAGGAGCTGAGAAGGAAATGGAAAGAAATGGGAAGTTCCTTGAATCCAACATAGACTCCTGACTAATAACATCCTCCTCCTTCCTGGCTGGAGAGGGTGATGAGCTTTGATTTATTACATGAGCATGATTTATTACACAATGAACAACTTACGTCTTTCAATGTGTTAATGTGTCTATTGATATTCAAATACCTGAGTAATCAGGTGAAATTCCATTTTTAACTGCTTAGATTAAAACAGAATTAAATACAAATACTTTGCTGCTAATCAACATACTGACCTATATTAAACGTGCACTTACATAGTTACCATATAATATGGTATATGGTATAGTATATGCTATGTAGTGTGCATTTTTCTCAGTCCTTCTTTATGATAAGCAGTTTAAAAATACACTATTAAAGCTGTACATATAGCTAATGCATTTCCAGGACAGTATTTTAAAAGATTCTGCAACAAGGAGTCTACTGAAATATAAAGACTATTATTTCCATGAACTTACCTGGCATAAGTTTAAAATAATCTATTTTTGTAGAGAACGAACACTTTTAGAGAGTATTTTAAATATAACATTTTACTGAACACTAAAAAAGCAAGTACTAGTGATGTAATAGCATGATGTCAAAAAAGTGCCAAGAAGTTCAATAAAATAAATATAAAATGTATACTTAAATGTAGTACCTTGAAGAACGACCTTGAAAAAGTCTGTCCCATCTCTGAGTTTTGTTAATGGGTAGGAAAGAATAACTATTCCCTAAAAAGTAAAAAAAAAAAAAAAAATACTGTGAACTAAGACTATACGCCTCTAAGTTACTGAAACACTGATAATGGCTGAAACATCTGTAAGCTAAAAAAAGGTAGAATTGAACTGATAAGTGCAAATTACCACCTGAATTGTTAAAAAAAGTTAATAAAAACTGCTAAAGACAGCATTGAAGAGCAATATTCTTGAGATATAACACAGGAAATATTACATGTCAATACTACTTAGACGCTACTGACCAGATGATAAGCTTAGACTAAACAATGAAATAGTAGCTATGAGAGTACCTTTTACTAGTTACAGTAACAGCACAAAGGCTACTGTTTTAGCACAAAACCTGAAAGGCAGCTAAAAAGGTAGGGTGATCAAAACCTTAAAAAATATAGAAATTTCTCCAAAAATATTGGCAAAGGATAAATATCAAAACAAAATCACAGTCAAGAGACAAAAGATGTATATGAAGATAAATAATCTTCTGTGAAAAATAAAAAAAATGTACAGCTGGGAGAACAGTATTACGAAGTTTTGAAACTGTAGTGACCTATTAATTTGTCAATAATACAAATGCTCTAAAAGATGCAAAGGTTCTATTAATTATGTAAAAATACTCTCTTTATAATGAAGTTGAAGTTACAATGAAGCAAAAATCTCAGACCAGCAACTTCAGTAATGTTAACATCTCTTTGGAACAAATGTGTTTTGTTAGAAAGATGATATCTCATGAGAAAAGGTTCTCCTTCAACAGTAGAAAAATGCCAGTCAAATGTATTCTTCCACAGTATGGCAGGTAAAGCACTGTATCCTTCTGAAGGATAAAAATACAGAATTTGGTTCAATAAAGAAAAATACAAAAATTTGAAAAAAGACTCTAGAAAGTGTTTAAGAGAACTACAGAAACAGCATAGGAAATAAATGTAAGGAGACAGCAGGATCAATCTGTCTATAAATGCACAAAAGCAACATTAAGAGGATAGGTAAATCATAATAATTTTACAGTACACATATTGAATAGGAAGCTTGACTTAAATGTTAGTAAACAATTCTTAAACCAAATTAGGCTAAAATACACAGCAGTGAATTGTTACTGTAGAGGTTTTTCAGCATAAAATTAGTCCCACGTGTTAACTGAGGAGGAATCCAAATCAAATTCAACAATTTATTTTAGTATCTGTTTTACAAAGAAATACTAAGACTCCACAAATCATCCTTTTCCAACCCAAAGTATATTTTAATTTTATTACACTAAAAAATAGCCATATTGAATTAGATTTAACACGTACCATATTGCTTTATTGCTTTCGAGACAGTCATAATGCTTCATTTAAGACCAAAACGGAGGTCAAAAATCTGTGACCATATGTTTTTAACAGGCAAGTTCCTACTTTTCACAGGAAAGACTAATGAGTTTTGTAAGGAGACTTAAGTATTAAATACTTATTTTAACAATCAGCATCTGCAAAATAATGTTCTGAGATTTGTCCATGAATATTTACAGAAAGGTTTGCTGCTTGTTTTCAAAATTACAACTTTGTTTAAAGTTTCAAGTATTATATATAATTGCTCTTGCTGAGATTGTTTGTCTTGAACTGTACTCACAAGTAAATAAAATACTACAGAATTTTTCTTGTAATAAAGTCTTTGCAATGAAACAAAGTCACCTCAGGAACACTCTGTATTTACATATATATTTTTTTCTTACTAAAGAAATTTCAATCCGCACAAGCATGCTATTTAAAAGCAGAATACATTGATGAGATAGAGACTGCTTTCTGACCATTTTTACTTTTTATTTTTCCTTTTACATTCGGTATCTTCCAATGAGTTTTCAAATTCTGGGACCACATTCTTCTCTATAATGGTCTGGCTCCACCTCTTTCCTTTGTACCACAAAAACTACACTCTAGTTCTCTTCCTCAGCAGAAATACTACCCACTGCTTTCTCAACATGCCTGAAATTCTTGGGCTCCAAACTTCAAAAAAAAACTGCCTTAGCAAAACCTGCTCAAATTCACTCTTCCCCCACAAATCCTGCACTGCTTATTGAACCCACAGACAAACTTTTCCCAAAACTCTCCCCTGTCCATATACCACTAGACTCACTCTCAAAATGACTATGTGCAATTCCTCTGGTGAATCTGTCTCCTTCCTTGCCACAGCCTCGTTCCTCACTCTGGTCCAAGAGCTGATTTGGCAGCTGATGTTCAGGTTTGGTTCAACTTTGCCACAGCAAAATCCAGAGGATGATGAATTAACAGCAGAAGGCATCAGGTTCAGTTAATGGACATCATGACTGAGTATTTACAGACATTGCTTGTGCTGTGCTCCCACAAATGTAAATTAAAATTTGTATTGTTCAAAAGGATGCCAGAAAGCAAAAAAGCTTCAGAAGAATGAAAGGACTGAGGTACACAAGCCAGACAGAAGCATCCTGGATGTTTTTTGTTACTTTTTCCCAGAACACACGTCATAAAAATCCTCCTTTCCCCTTCCTCCATCCTCAAAGCAGGTCCTGATCCCTATTTTGGCAGGTCTAGAGTGACAGTGTGCTGTGCCACTGCTAAGATAACCTAACATCCGTGCATTCCAAGGTTCGCTTCAAGCTCAGCCTGCAGAACTGGATTTTCCTACATATTTAATGCTGCATTAGCACCAGCTTTATCAGCTCTCCAGTTGCACTGTTTTTATGCCAAGCTGTTTTAGTCACCTACTAATCCATGTCGGCAGCAGCATGAAGTTCTCTTAACATAAGGCAGAAGTCTGAGAAAGAGATTCTATACGCTTTCTCTTTCAGCAATCAGCTGCATGTATGCTTTAAATCACAGTCTGGTAATAATTGTTCTGCTTCCCTAATGGAAACGTTTATTTTGGCAAAGACATTTTCTAATTTAGAATCCATTTTTGTCTGCTTCAACATTTCCTTTGTGAAGAAGAATCCCTGTTCTTCCATGTCAGAGGTGCTTGCAGACATAGCTTTTAAAAGCAGGAAAACCTATATGCCCTGCAGGTGAATGGGGACAGAAAACTACACCCTGAAGAATAAAAACCCTGTTTACTAGCAGCATTGGTTATTGATGTTTCCATTTGTTCCTTTACAAGACCTAAGGGAGGCTAGATCATTCTCAATCAAATCACCTCCTATCACACTTGACTGCTGCCTGCTTCCAAAAAGGGCAGTTTTGCTCCTTTGCTTTACCTAATTGCACTACTCCTGGCATCTCTTTGACACCATAATGAACCAGTCCAGAGAGTGAGAGCAGCAGAAAACTACCCTCTTTCCATCAATATGTATAGTCTTCTGCCAGTTTATTTCTCATGAATGGACTCAATCACAGGGTCAGATAAGCACTTAAGCTGGGAAAGAAAAAATGCTTTTCGGATACAGAAAATCATTAGGCCAGTTCAGCTCATATTTGTTCAAATATTTGTGCCATTTTTTAAGGATTCAAGCCACCTAAGGTTTTCTACAGAATTAACTTGCTCTTTTTCTCTCTCTCTTTTTTTTTTTTTTTTTTTTTTTTGAGAGACTGAAGGCAAGCCTGGGATGATGTTTCCTGCCACTTTAGCGTCAGGGATGATTAAAAGGATTTTCAGAACCATTAACAAAAAAAGTCAAACAGGTTAAAAAAGAAAACCCTCAAAATTGACACTGCATTTTACAGAGTATACTTGTTTTAGGGATGAAAAAAAAATAATCTGCATTTCACTAGTACACTAGGATTGTATTTCCAATCTGAAATATATTTGGAACTACCATAAAATATAAATGCACACTTGGTAATGATAAAAAAACCTAATTGTATCTTGATGCCGGTAGTTGCTACAGAGTCCTCTTTTCATAAAACTGGATATTGCATCGCTTCATACAAGAAAGGAAAACTGCTTTAGAAGTCATTACTCTGAAATCTGATCTTCAACAGGATGGTGGTGCTTATTACTATGTTTTTTAAAACAAAATACCACTTAACCTCGCCCAATCCCTCCATTTTCAGCACAGCCTTCTGCATATTAATGTGTTTTTAAATGGGTCCAAAGTTTAGAAACTAAGAAAACCTCTTATAAAATTTAAGTCTGACAATGTAAGAGGAAGGGACAGACCTGTGAATCAATGAAGTTAGTAGCAACACGCAACAAAGTTCAATAGGGTCATAATTTTGCGTTGCTTAAAGATGCACACAGACACAAAGCTGCAGCAAGTCACCAACTGAGCTGGAATATGAAGGTCTCTTATAAACATGCCAGGAGCTATTTCAAAGTAAGCCAAAATTCTTTTGTTAGTAAGTTACCTGAAAGTATTTGTTGGTATGATCAAAGCCTTCTTGCAAGTGTTTCAAATCCTCCTTCTGCAAATGGCTTGGTAGCGGAGTCTCAGATTTTCCTTTAATGATCTTCAGCAATTGAACAGGCATAGCTGCTTTACCTAAACAAACATGATAAACAGACTCCTGAAGCTACTCATCTTGTTCAAATGAAGAGTTACTAGAAGTTGCAATTTACTCAGAAGGGGAGTATTTATCTATTTCATAATAAGAAAGTTTAATTACATAAGACTAAAAATCTTCAAAGGGATTGGCCTCGTCTTTTAGCACCATCAACAGCAGGAAGAGAGAAACTAACATTTCCTTGGCAACAGACAGCCATCCAAATGACTTTATTTTGCAAACATTCCAAAACACTGCAAATGGCAACAAAGTATTAGTTATATATGAATGCAAAGGGTAATGTAAACAACGTGACTATTTTATGTACAGAAATGCACATCAAAAATGAAGCAGAAACTTTGAAG